AGGACCTGAAATGCTTGCTGCAGAAGGTCAAGGACTACAGCCTTCAGTATGGATTGAAGCTCTATGTCAAGAAGACAAAGATTCTCACCAATGGACCAATTGGCAGCATCAGGATGAATGGTGAAGAGATTGAGATTGTTAACAACTTTAGTCTGCTTGGCTCCACGGTCAACACCCTTGGCACCAGTAGCCAGGAAATCAAAGAATGTATTGTGATAGGAAAGTCTGCTGTTAGGGACCTCTCCAGGTTACTGAAGAGCAATGGGGTCACTCTGGAGACTAAGGTGTGTCTGATACAGGCTATGGTCTTTGCAATTACTTGTTATGCATCAGAGAGTTGGACAATGACTAAGGAGGATAGAAGGAGAATTGATGCCTTTAAGCTGTGGTGCTGGAGAAAAGTATTGAATGCATCCTGGACTGCCAAGAAAACAGATTCATCCTGGAGAAGGTTAAACCAGGCTGCTCCTTGGAGACAAGGATTCTGGGGCTTCATCTGACATACTTTGGACATGTGTTAAGGAGGGACTGGTCCTTGGAGAGGGACATCATCCTTGGGAGGGTGGAGGGATGGCACTGAAGGGGAAGATCTTCTATGAGGTGGACTGATTCAGTGACTGGTGTAATCGGGATGGATGTGTCAGAGGCAGTGAGATTGGCACAGGATAGAGTAGGGTTTAGGGCTGTTTTATATAGGGTCGCTATGAGTTGTACATAGGGTCACTATGATGGCATATAACAGCAACAACAACAACACATCTTATAAATTCTTGACTGCTACTACCATGGGTGTTGATTGTGGATCCAAGTAAAAGAAATTATTGACAACTTCACTCTTTTCTCTATCATGATGTTGCCTATTGGTCCAGTGGTGAGGATATTTTTTTTCTTGATGTTGAGGTGTAATCTGTATTGAAGGCTGTAGCCTTTAATCTTCTGCAGTAAATGCTTCAAATCTTCTTCACTTTCTGAAAGCAAGGTTGTATCATCTGGATAAAGCAGATTGCTGCTGAGTCTCCCTCCAATCCTGATGCAATTTGTTATATAGTTCAGCTTCTCAAGTGATTTGCTCAATGTATAGATTGAGTAGGTCTAAAGAAAGAATACAATCTAATGCACACATTTCTTGACTTTAGACTATGAAGTATTCCTTATTCTGTGAACATACCATGGACCACCAAGAGAACAAACAAGTCTGTACTGGAGAGGGTGAAACTAAGTTTCTCCTTGGAGGCAAGGATTCTGAAGCTCTGTCTCAACATACTTTAGACATGTGGCCAGGAGAGACCAGTCCTTTGAGGAGGACATCGTACTTGGAATGGAAGGGAGGAGAGAAAGACCCCAGATGAGATGGAGTTACACAATAACTGGGGTAATGAGGGTAGATGTGTCAAGATCAGTGAGATTGGTTCAGGATAGAGCTGAGCTATTGTACATGTGGTTGCTATGACTCTCAGGTGACTCAACAACACATAACAACAACAACATTATATTCAATATATATACTTGTGTGTGTGTGTGCATGAGTGTGTGTGTATAAAACCTTACTTTCCCCTCCAATATCTATTCTCATCTTTTCATATCCAAATTTATCCCTCAGTCTACACTGTTCTTGTACCAAAACTGTTCTTGTTTATCTCCACTACCATCTTTCATGTCTACAATTTCAACAACCTTCTAATGTTCTGCCTGCTTTTACTACCCTTGAGTCTCTATATTCATATAAAAACATCTAACTGACTACATCACTATTCCTAGTAAAGCTCTTTAATTACCATATGGCATTTATAGTCCAAGTTAACATACCATAAAGGCCCACTTGGTTGACTAGTGCCTACCTTCCTAGTTTCTTCTTTCCAAAGATGAATCTACTTGAAATCCAAGTCTACTTGAAATGTATCCTCCAGCTACATTGGCCTGTTAGTAGCTGTACATATCATACTATTTCTGACCTCTGTCATATTTGTCATGCTCCCTCTCCCATGATGGAATGCCCTTTGTACAGCCTTTTCTTGAAAAAGAAAAAGAATTTAAAACAAAGCAGAAGGGGGAAAAAGAAAGTAAAAGACAATTTTTGAAGCTAACAATCTAGAAAGTCTTCTCTACTTATTCTGATTATGATTCCATATGTGTTCTGGAAATGTGAAATTGTTCTCAATGAAATCTTAAGAAGGACAGATTTGACAGCATGTACAGTAGGAGCCAGTCAAAATGTACGTATTCTTAGCCTGGTATTTTTCGTTATTGAGACATAACTTATGAAATAATTCTCTTGTGTATGATTTTGCATGTAGTTGGTATTATATAAAAACTAAATTAGTGACATATGTGATTGATATTATAGTCATATTGTTGTGTTTGCTTTTATGTGAACATCTACAGGGAAAAGTCACAAATACCAGTCATCAGTGGCCCACAAGAATGAAATGCATGAACCTCCCCCAGAGATGGTTCAAACAGTAACTCCTGTGGAGGTTCACATAGGCACCTGGTTTACAACCACGCCAGAAGGAAATCGGATTGGCACCAAAGGACTGGAAAAAATAGCAAACTTGACCCCGTTTTTATCCTTTAAGGCCACAGATCCTATGAACGGAACGGTATGGCAACCTATTGAAGAAAATTTGAAAGTAATTAGAATTCTGAAATAACATGAGTAAAATGTCTGACATAGACGTTTTCAATAAATATTTGTTAAGAGATAATGGATAACCAGATGCATATATGGATTAATTCTCCCAAATCTTAAAACATCATCAGTCTTATTTTAACCAACACAATATGTCAGAATTTTTAAAATAAGAGATGGGTTATCAATTTTCTATACTACTTTTATGATGTACATAACTAATAATATCAAGAATTTTTTTATGTTGAATGTATTTGTGTACATATACCTCATTCTTATTTCTTTGTGTTCAACTGCAGTGAGTAACAGAAATCTGTTCATGATCCTTGACTTATAGGAACTTATAGTGTATGTAAGAAGATAAATTTATATTAAATAACACAAGAGTTCAATACCACAAGGGTATCTGTACATATGATTTTATTTGAAACATATTAAGTGACAAATGAATGGCAGGGAGAAAAGGAAAGGTTTTATTGTGATAGGAAATAAAAACTTCTATTTGCTAGGTTTTCTGTCATGTAATTTGGATGCCTTATCTAATTCAATCCTCACCACAGTAGATATTATTACTCAGATAAGGAAACTGAGCCATAGCAAGTTAAATACTCATATAGGAAATGCTAGCACTGGAATTATAATTAGTTGTTGGTGACTAAAATTTAAGCTCTTCCCATTCTTCATTTATTCCTCTAATATCATAGGTGAAGGTTCTCTATACACTCTGGACATAAATAAGATGCAGAATTTCTTTCGGTGCAAAATCTCTGGCTTCTGGCCTTCCTGCTATTGTTTATAACCACATGCTGCTCTCCTATTTGCTAATTGTCAAGAAGAATTACATCTTCCAACCAAATATGTTTTCCTTTCTTCCTCTACCTAATTCAGAAGTAATCTCTTAATTTTTTTTGTTTTATGTGCCACTTAATAAATATCTGTGATTAATTAATGGAAGGAGTCCTGGTGGTACAATGGTTAAGCACTCAGTGGTTAAAATTTATCAGCTTCTCCTCGGGAGAAAGATGATACAGTACAGTCTGCTTCAATAAAGGTTTAAAGCCTTTAAGAGTTCATAGAGTTTCCAAAGGAATATTGTTTAGGAAGTATGTTTAGGAAGTAAATACCACTCCTGCTTCCAAACATGTTTTAGCCTTGGAGCTCCACCAAGCACTGTCCACCATGGGTAACCATTATGGCATTGGCTGATGATGATGGTCTGCTTTTATATTCAAGTGTTTTTGTTCTAGAATCTACTGTTTGTTTCAGTTATTCTCTAAGTTGGCATGTGTCAAGGCAATTGGAATATGATTCTTGCTGTCCTAAGACCTGCTGGCCTTTACCACTGCAAAATGTATTTGACAGAATCAACATGGTGCTGATAGGGTGGGGAAGAGGTGGCAGTTTCTCTGACTCCCAGGAACTTCTTAATTGTAGAGATGTTGCTGATTCTTGTTTTAAACGCATGTAGCAGAGCAAAGTCAGAAAGAATAGACGCATTGAGTTCTTCCTTCATTAAAATAGCTTCTATCAGTTGTACATCTGCTCAACTGAATTTGTTTTCCAACAAGAAAATCCTCTCCTTGGTCTTTAAAAATCTTTTCAAAGACAGGTAAATAGAGAATTTTTGCCTTCTTCACAATTAAAGCCAGGTTCTCCTCTTTCTCCTCAGTGGGTTTGAAAGGCGTCACCACGATCATCATCATCAGGTCCAATTTTCCATCAACATACATATCAATCTTGACTCTCTCCTTCAGATCCTCTCCCTAAAAATTGTACTTGGCAGCCAGATAGCTGAGGATGGCTCTATTTTTTGTGAGCATCATTCCATTCATTTTCAGGCAAAGACTCTTTGCCTAAAAGAAAGCATCCCCCTTTTCCCAATTTTTCATATTTCTCTCAAGAAATATTTCTTCAAACTCAACTCCAGCTGCAGCCAGTAACCAGCGGTTTACTCCATTCTGCCCGGTCATGAAAGTAGTATAGTTTGGGTTTGGCTCCCATGACTCTTGGTTCAGAGTTTTCTTATTTCTTTCCAGCTCTTCTTTTTCAGTCAGTAATCTCTCAATTTGCACCTGGTTTCTTAGTCATCTTTTTCTATAAAGCTAAAACCATATATTCACTTGTGACAATTATTTTTGTTTACTTTTGGTCACTTTCAGTAAATTATCTAAATTAAGCCCCTAATGTCTGACTTAATATTAAAATTTTATTAGCACTTCTCAATCAACAACTCCTAATTTTCCTCATTAAATATATACTGCCATTATGGAGGCAGAAGCCAGCATGCAAAAGCATTGACTCTTACATGGATTAGACACCAAAATTCAGCATCCTGATACTAGTAGTTATTTGAGGGACACTCACTTTGCTAATTTTCCCACATACTAACACATTTCATTATCTCTTTTATACATACATATACACACAAATTATAGTTGTTTGTATTTTACACATGAGGCAACTAAGCTTAGAGCAAATTAAATGACTTGTCCAAGGTCACACAGCTAGTGGTAGGCAGAATGTGGACCTCACCCTATTGGTGCATTCTAGATCCCACGTGCTTAACCACCGCATGGACCGCAAAGGACCAAGAAATTGAAATTATCTCCTTCCCTGCCTCTACTCATTTCCACATGCACCCCAACTTTATCTCATTCTGATACCCCCTCCTTTACTCACATGGATTCTTCTAACTCTGCCCAACCCTTACTCATTCCCATCACCACCTCCATTCTCTCTCTCTCTATTCCTTTTCCTTTACCCTTCCCTGCTCTCCCACCCCACAACCTCACCTCCTTTTCCCACTTTTTTCCCACCTCTAACTCTGTTCTCTAACCCCTCTCCCTCAATCCTCACCCCCTTTTCCTCATACTCCTACTCCTCTTCCTTCTCACCCTTCACAAAAATTTTTTTTTAAAAATTGAAATTATCATGTGGTTGTCACTGTGTGCTGTCAAGTCATAACTTACCTATAGCTGATTGTCCAAAAGGTTTTCAGAGGCAGTAAATCAATCAAATGGGAGAAGATTGTCCATCATTCTCCCATAGACCTATTTGATGGATTTGAACTGCATGCCTTTGGGATTGCAGCACATCTTCTTACACCTAGGCCACCAGAGCTCCCTTCATATTATCATAGGACATAAAATTAAAAATGAATGGGTTCCCCTCCCCCGACATCTGATCAGCAGTAGCTCATTTTAGAGGGATAGGCACTACCCTTGATGCATAGCAATCTGATTCAAGTCTCAGTCATGCTCGTTACATATAATTTAGCACATGTTTCTAACCTAGATTTCCTTGCTTAAGAAAACAAAGATAATCATCATTACCTAAAACTGTAGGGAAAATTGATATGTACCAGTCTCATAACTATCAAGTGTTTAGGAAGCTTTCTTGCTATTGTGTTACTACAGCTACTAAGAATAATAGTGATTATCTCATAGTGAATAATGCTTCAGGCAACTAACCAAAGGGTCAGCAGTTGGAATCTACCAGTTGCTTCTCAGAAGGCAAATAAGGGGTCCCTCCCATAAAGATATCTCATAGCTGACCCGCCAGTTAATTTTCAAAGACTGTAAATTACACAGGAGATTTCCCATCTTTCTCCCACGGAGAAGCTGGTGGATTCAGTCAGAGAGGTGCTACCTTTGGGTTAGAAATAGAACTCCCTATGGACTACACCACCAGTCTGCACCATCAGAGTTCCCACACAGCTATACAGCCTCAAACCCTGATGGGTGGGTGCTATGAATCAGAATCAACTCAACAGAACTGACTCAACTGAATTAGGAACTCACCATGTTGGGAACTGGAAGATGTCAAGGTATTAGCAAGTGTTTGAAAATTCTAAAATAAGTATCTATATGGACTGAGGCTCAATGTCAAGAAGACAAAGATTCTCACCACTGGACCAGTTGGCAGCGTCAGGATGGATGGCGAAGAGATTGAGATTGTTCACAGCTTCAGTTTGCTCGGCTCCACAGTCAACACTCTTGGCACCAGCAGTCAGGAAATCAAAAAGCGTATCGCGATGGGAAAGTCTGCTGTTAGGGACCTCTCTAAAGTACTCAGGAGCAACGGTGTCTCTCTGGAGACTAAGGTGCGCCTGATACAGGCCATGGTCTTTGCAATCGCTTGTTATGCATCAGAGAGTTGGACAATGACTAGGGAGGACAGAAGAAGAGTGGATGCTTTTGAGCTGTGGTGCTGGAGAAGAGTACTGAATGTACCATGGACTGCCAGGAAAACAAACAGATTCATCTTGGAGAGGATTAAACCAACCTACCCCTTGGAGGCAAGGATTCTGGAGCTTCGTCTGACATACTTTGGACATGTTGCCAGGAGGGACAGGTCCTTGGAGAGGGACATCATGCTTGGGAGGGTGGAGGGACAGCGCAGGAGGGGAAGACCCTCTATGAGATGGATTGATTCGGTCACTGGAGTAATTGGGATGGGTGTGTCAGAGGCAGTGCGGTTGGCGCAGGATAGAGCAGGATTTAGGGCTGTTGTGCATAGGGTCGCTATGAGTCGGAAACGACTCGACGGCACATAACAACAACAACATAGCTATAGTAGATGAAAATAAGTATTAATTGCTCACATGGCATCCTACTTTTAATTGCTTTATTCAACTTCATCCTCATTTAATTAGCATGGTATCCCTGAAGAACATACTGTTATTGCCCACATTTTTCAGGTGAATAAACTGGAACACAGAGAGGTCAAACAACTTATTCCTAGAGTTTGAAACTTGTTTCTGGAGCTGTGCTTTGATGTCAGGCAGCCTAACTCCAGAGCTTGTGCTCTGATCTATCGCAATTATACAGCAGTAATTCTTGTTACACCTACCTCACTGAAAGTGCCAAAATTAAGGATATTTTCATAATTAGTCAACAACAACAAGGGAGCTCTGGTGGCCTAGTAGCAAGAAGCTGTGCTGCGATCCCAAAGACATGTGGTTTGAGGCCACTAGCTGTTCCGTGGGAGAAGGATGGACGATCTCCTCCTGTGCAATTAACTCACACTGAAAACCTACCAGAGGGTCAGCTATGGGTTGGTTCCAACTCCACGATGTACAACAACAAGATTAAGGGCTTACTATTTATGAGACGCCTCAGGTCAATGTAGTCCCAAATGCTTAACCAGCTGTATGCATCCCTAACTTCTAACATGAACAGCTCCTTCCATATCTCAGCTCCTTCCATATCTCAGTTCCTCAATTTCTCTATGGCCCTTGGTTTCAGATTCACTAGAAGGTCTCTCAGAGACTCAGATCCGTTAGGGGAAGGACTCATGTGACCGCAGATATACAGGCTGGGTTGGGAGAAACTGGTGAGTAATGGGCCAGGATCCTGTAGACTGTCACTTGTGCCACAGCTACATGGTGACTGTGAGTGATGCAGGCTGTTGGTGTAGAGACTGGTAAGCAGCTGGAAGCTATGAGCTTCCCAAGCAAATGAGCATTTCTAAAAGAAAAAAAAAACACATTTGGTGCTGTGGTACCCTGAGCTTGTATAAGACTCTAGTAGGGTGAGACTCGTACCCCATCCTAATCCTCTCTCACTTCAGCACAAAATAAACAGTTAATCATTGGCTAGAGAGGACATCTGGATGAAAAACCTTAGATACCCAGAAAGACTTAAATAATGATCAAATTGCATTTCTCTTAAATTGTGTGCTCTCATGGCCTACTGTCAAGAAGCTGTGTTGCAATCCTGAAGTCACACAGTTCAAGTCCACCAACTGCTACACGGGAGAAGGATGGGCAATCTCCTTCAAAAACCACCTGAGGTGAGCTCTGGTGGCCTAGTGGCAAGAAGCTGCACTGCAATCCTAGAGGGGAGTGGTTCGAATCACCAGATGCTCTGCTGGAGAAGAAGGGACAGTTTCCTCTTGTACCAGTCAGATCCAATTTGATGGCACACACACACACACACACACACAATAATAATAAAGAAAGAAAGAAATAATTTTTAAAAACCCCTTAGGGTCAGCTGTGAATCAGATCTGACTCAGTAAACAACAAACAACATCTCCCTTACAGAGATAGTGTCATTACCACCTACTCCCAGTACATTTGAGTAAAATAGTAATAATAATAATAATAACAATAATAATAATTGCTATTACTCTAACATTTTATATAATGCACTTCAAAGAAAATAAATAGATCTGTCTTGGAGAGGGTGAAACCAAGTTTCTCCTTGGAGGGTAGGAGTTTGAAGCTTGATCTCACATACTTTGGGCATGTGGCCAGGAAAGATTGGTCCTTGGAGAGGGGCTTCATTCTTGGAAGGGTGAGGAGACAGCACAGAAGAGGGAGACCCCAGATGAGATGAATTGATACAGTAACTGGGACAGTGGGAGTTGATGAGTTAATGAGACTGGCTCAGGACATGGCAGTGTTCAGAGCTGCTGTACATAGAGTCTCTATGGGTTACAAGCAACTCGATGGTGCATAACAACATTACCATTTTATATGAAAGTTACATACCTTTATATTCATCTGGACTCTGTATTGGATCACTGTGTCACTTAAGAACACACAAGTTTAGAAAACATCCACCATTATGTTCAAGTATACATTATGTAGTTGCAAAGAGAAGTGAAGTTTGAGGTTAAAAGTAATTATAGGGATCACCATCTTCAAAAGCAAGGAGAAAGTGCAAGAATGGGCAGAGAAAGATATTAGATATTAATGGTACAGAACCAATAAAGCTTCAACAACCTGACAGTAAACTCAAGAGAACGTATTGCCTGTCCCAAAGATTCAGCTATGATTGAGGTCAAGCTGCTTTCTCTCTGCCTCCCTCACTTAGTAATTGTAAAACCCCATTAAAGATGTGATAAAGGGGCTTTTTTGCATTTATTTTAATGAAAGTTTACAAAGACTTCAGATTTCCATTCATTTATTATTGCACTTTTCTCCCTGCCCATCCCTCCCCCTTGCTCTTCTCTCTGAAAAGTAAGATAAATTCTTTCATTGTTATACAATCCCTCCTGCCAAGTCCACTCCACTACACAGCCTTTGTTCTGGACTCCTGTCATGATGATAATACCTAATTATATATCCCTCCCTCACCTGTTTCAATGCAGTATACATTATTTATCTTCTCTTTTTCAGTCTCACCTCAACCCTGATAACAGTCCCGTATTACAACACTGGCACTATGCAATATTTGTCTTTTTGTGACTGTGATAGTTCACTCAGCATAATGTCCTTCAGGGTTATCCATTTTGCATAATATTTCATGTGTTCCTTGTTTTTCAATGCAGTGTAAGTATTCCATTGTGTGAGTATACCAGAGCTTCTCTATCCATTCGTTTGTTGATGGACCCTTGGTTGTTTCCACATCTTTGTAAAGGGCTTTCTAAAGCTGAAGCACGTGCCAAAAACATTGGCAGAGGTTGTTGGCAAATTACACTTCCCACAATTTCTTTCTTGAAGTCTCTATGTCCACTACATGTACATACACCTGGAGATTTGGAGCTCCATTAGTAAGTGATTTAGCTAAAGCATTTAAGAGTTGATCTGATTGTCGCTTAAGATTGGCACATTTGCCTGTACTAACTAAAATATTTACATCGATTCTACTTTATAGATATTGTGTGTTTGTGTGTTTGTGTGTGTGTGTTTATATGTTAAAACTATGTACTTGAAACACTTTAGTCGTGTTTTCCCCCCATCAGAATAAAATCCTAAACCTTTAACATAGCTTAATGTCCTCCCCATTATAATTGTGATGTTATTCATATTCTGGACACAAGCCTGTCCATGACATATTATTCTGAGACATTAGAAGTCTTGCCTGTCTCCCACAGATCTTCCTTCCAGCTCAGTCTACCAGATCAACTTTACAACAAGCAAGATGCCACATTTGTCTTAACTCTTGAGTAGCCATGATAATGGGGTGTTTTGCTGTTTCTCTAGACAAACACACCTTAGCCCTGTCCTGATGCTAACTTTTTACTCACAAATAAGCTAAAATAGAAGGAACAGCAGATTTGAAGTCTGTAAGCCATTAATCCACATACTCAGCATACTTACATGTTGAGTGACCTTGAGCAAATTTATTGTTTTGCAAACCTAAATTTCTCTATCTGTAAGATGAAAAATATCATTTCTTGCTTTTTCAAATTATTTTCAAGGATTAGATTAGGTTTATGAGACAAAATTTTCATTTATAAATAAATGCTTAGGATTTTGGTGATACCGCCTTTGTCTTAAGTGGGGCTAAAGATAAGTGCTGTTAGCACAGCAGACCAAATAATGATACTCTGCCTTCAAATATTCAGGTTATGACAACCCGAGAAGACAAAGTGGTCATTGTTGAACAGAAAGACGGCACTCGTATAGTGGATCATGCTGATGGCACCAGAATCACGACATTTTATCAAGTTTATGAAGATCACCTTCCTCCAGAGGGTGAAGATATAAGTAAGTTTAATGTTTCATGTGTAGGGCAATAGTTTGCCATTTTAAATTAAGATCAAGTCCTCACCATTGTTGAATGTATATATAAGAAAAAGATTTTGTTTTTATTAAGTTAGCAAAGTCAAAGAGCAGTTGGCAAGGTGCAAAATACCCACCTTTTGGTTAGCAGATCAACACATGGTGTATCTATGACACCAGAGGTGTTCATTCTTTAAAGTACTGAATAGAAAAGTGAGCTGTTAGAAAAATGTCAGTGTTCATCAATGGCAGAAGAGAAAGACAAAAAATAGCACAGTCTTAAAAGGAATTACTATAGAGCCATTAAAAGGCTTTGTGAAATACATACACCCTCATACACATGTAACAACAAATACCCAATATAGTTGCAAACCTATTTCTCTTAAGTTGATTCTAAGAGAGGGTAGAATTACCCGTGGGGATTCCAGGGCTATCATTTTTATAGAAGCAGATTGCTTCACGTTTCTCCCAGAGAGCAGCTAGCTGGTAAGTTCAAACTACTGACCTTTGGGTTAGCAGCCAAGTCAAGACGATTGCAAGTCTAAAAACAGTGTCAAATAGAAAAACCTGATAAAATGACGCATAAATACATAATTGTATAGATTTAAAGTATACTTTATATATTCTCAGGATATTTGTTTTATTAAAGATAAATATGGGCTGTGTAGGAAAAAAATAAACTCAAGGATAAAGACAAAAGTGACTTTCAAACCTATCTGTACATGTTCTGTGTTATAAAACATTTTAAAGGGAACTATTTGAAGTAAACTTTGATTCATCGATACATGAGTGGTTGAATAGTATTTTACACTTTTCTAAATAGTTTCAATTTCTCAAAGCAGAAATAATAGAACAAAACAGTATAACAAATCCAGTGTATATCATTCTTTCAAAATGACAAGGCTAGTAAACCTAACCCTGCAGACTTCTCTGCACATAGAAGCTACTTTCCAATCATATCGTTGACACAGAAAGTCCAGCAGGTTAGCCAACAGCCACAGCTTCAGCAGGCTAAGGCCTGTTTTCAAGCCCGTATTTCTCATCAGATCTGCTAACTTTGCATTTGCTTGTAGCTGAAGGTTTTCAGACTTTCATCAGGCAAGTGAAATGTATGCAGATAGAGAGCGCTCACTATGCCACGGTTATCACCAACTGTGAGGACAGTAGCTGCTCTGCCACCTTTGGCGATGGAACATCTGTTATTGCAAAGCCACAGGGAACATACCAGGTAAGTGCAGGAGACAAATGAGGGGTTTCGGGGGGGGGTGGTTTTGGGGTTTTTAATTAACTTTTTTAATTAATTTTAATGAAAGTTTACAGAGATTTTGGATTTCCATTCATTTATTGTTCACTTTTCTCCCTGTCCAACCTCCCCTACCCCGTTCGCTCTTCTCTTTGAAAAGTAAAAGAAAAATTCTTTCATTTTATACAATCCCTCGCCTCAAGTCCACTCCACTATGCAGCAGTCATTCTGGACTCCTGTCATGACAATAATACGTAATCATATATCCCTTTTAAACACTTCTCTCCCTCATCTGTTTCAATGCAGTATACATAATTTATCCCATCTTTCTCAGTCTCCCCCCAACCCTGATGTCAGTCCCGGTTTTTACAATAGTGGCCCTATGCAGTATTTGTCCTTTTGTGACTGAGATATTTCACTCAGCATAATGTCCTCCAGGGCCACCCATTTTAAATAATATTTCATGGCTGCTATGGGTTTTACAGGAATTTTCATAACCTGGTTCATGCCAACCAGAGTCACCTCTTTCTATCTTCATTCTTACTATCTTTATTCTTACATTTCATTTGAGTCCCTCTCTACCTAATCTGCCAAGGATGAATGGTAAAGCAGGAGATAGCTCATAGTCTTTGGGGTTCCACTTCCTTCCCTGAAGCAAAGCTCTGTCCTTGGAAAGAGCACTGTTAGTGTCTCTAGCATCCTGCACTTCCCTGGTGTGCACGATTACCTGGGGTCAGTCTCAGTCCTTCAGTCCAGGAGGATTTACCTTTCCACTTGCTGGATCAGACAAACAAGGTGACACTCACTGTCACAAATGGAATAAGAGGAACTCAGTAGCACTCAGTGGCACAAGTTCAGATCCAGAATAAGAAAAACAAAATCCTCATTAACAAATCTTTATTATTATAACAATTTCTGAGGCCAGTTTATTTCTCCCATGTCTCTTAATAATCTTATTCTAATACTTTTTCTAAGTTGCACCTGATTCAAGCCATGGTCTTTTCAATTTCTTACTATGTATCTGAAAGTTGAACACTGAGTAAGAATGAGAGAAGAAGAATTGATGCCTGTAAGTGATGGTGTTGGAGAAGAGTGCCGAATATCCCATGGACTGCAAAAAAACCAAACAGATATGTCTTGGAGAAAGTGCAGCCAGAGTGCTTCTTAGAGGCAAAATGGTGAAACTTTATGTCACATATTTTGAGCATGTTGGCAGAAGAGGCCAGTTGTGGGAAATGACATCATGTTTGGAAAGGTAGAGGTTCAGGAAAAGAGAGGAAGACCCTCAAAAGATAAATTGGCATAGTAACTGTAACAAAGGGCTCAAATATATGATAGATAATGGGAATTGGACAGGAAAGGACAGGGTTCAAATTCATTATTAATAGGGTCACTATATGTCACAGTCAATTCAATGGCACCTAACAACAACAACAATCCTTTTCATTTCATTAGATCATTATGAAGTAAGGTGGAGGCTAAATGTGAGAGCTCACTCAACTGCTACAACTGGTGAAAAACAGCTATAATAAAGCAACAATTGCTGTTGAGTCAATTCTAACTCATGTCAACCCCATGAGCATAGTAAGAGTTGAGTTGTGCTCCCAAGAGATTGCAAGGGCTAGTTGATGGATAGAGATCACCAGGCCTTTCCTCCACAGTGCCTCTGGATAAACTCAAACCCCCAACCTTTTAGTTAGGAGCTGAGAGTGTTAATCCAGAATTCAGTGCTGTTTTCCTTATTTACCTTTGAGAATGTCCTTTTTTAAAAAGGATCCATATTGTAGTCTCATGTGTCCTACTAAACATCATTAAAATATCCTAAGAATCTAGAATAAACCAGTTTTTATCTTATTTTAAAGATATTGCCAGATTCTAACTAATGGTTCCAACTACAAGAGAAAAAAGTATTTTGAATCATGAAAGCAAACAAGCTTTATGCTTCTCTTTCTATACTGATCTGATTTAGCTTAAGGAACTCATTCAGAGATTTTGTGTTTGGTAGGTACCTCTATGAATAGTAAATTAAAACCTTGCCCTATCCTGTGCCATCCGCACAATTTCCCACATGCACAAACCCATTGATACATTCACTGTCTATCTCATTGTGGGTTTTCCTCTCTTTCAATGATCATCTACATTTCCTAATATGAGGAATAATCTCTACTGGCAATACACCAAACATAGTTTGTGAGATGACATTTCACCATCTATGTCTCTAAGGAGCACCATGGTTGCACTTCCTCCAAGAAAGATTTGTTTGTTCTTTTGACAGTCTGTAATATATTAAACACTCTTCACCAAAAGCACGATTCAAAGTCATCAAATTATTTTTGGTCTTCCTTAGTCATTATTCAGCTTTAAGATACGCAGGAAGCAATTAAAAACACCATAGTTTGGATTAGGCACGCCTGAATCTTTAAACAGATATTCTTGCTCTTTAGTACTTTATAAGATGTCCCTGACAGCATCATATTTCCCCAATGCAGCATATCTTACATTTCCTGACTTGTACCCCCATGGATATTGATTGTGGATCCAAGTCAAATTAAATTATTAACATCAAATTTTCAACATCTGTCATGATATGGTACTGGATAAGGGTCTTGAACATATCATGGGCCACCAAGAAAACAAATAGGAGAGGATAAAAACCAAGTTTCTCCTTGGAGGCTAGAATTTTGAAGCTCTATCTCATATACTTCAGGCACAAGGAACCAATCCTTAGAAAAGGATATTATGCTTGGAAGGGTGGAGGGACAGCTCAGGAGAGGAAGACCCTGGATGAGATGGATTGATACAGTTGTAGGGCAGTGAGAGTAGGTGTATCAGAATCAGTGAGACTGGCTTAGGACATGGCAGGCTTCAGATCTGTTGTACATAGGGTTGCTATGAGTTGCAGGCAACTAGACAACACGTAACAACAACAACATCATGATGTTGCCTGTTGGTCCAGTGGTTGGGGATTTATTTTTGTTTTCTTTGTGTTGAGATGTAATCCTTATTTAAGGCCATAGACCATGATCTTTCTCAGTAAGTACTTTCCAGTTCCTGCAAGCCAGGTTGCAGGTAAGTCAGTCATCTGCAGGTAAATGCATTGAGATAGTAATTAGATGCGTGACTGCCATGGGTTAGAGAATGAGGGGAATGGGAAGTGATTGCCAATAGTACAGGTTTATTTTTTGGATAATACTTGATGATACTTGTACAAATTGTGGTTGTACTGAACCATGGGTTGGTAATTTTAAAAGACTTACACTTATTGAATTAAATCTCAAGTTTAAAGGGATCCCGCTGACCCATAAATCATTACTTGAAAGCAGTTTTCAGGACAGTGTCAGAGTACTGAGGAGAACATTTGTCCAAGTGTTTTTGACACTCTTTGAGATGCTTCTTGCTCTAAAATATAAAGAAGCCATGTTTTTTAAATAAGTTTTGAAGTCTTCACCTCAGTCAAAATAAAGGAAATATCTCAAATAAAAAAAAATAGGACCATTACTGAGGAGAGATATTTAAGGAGTAAGTAAAATGTGATGATACGTGGAGGGGAAATGACATTTTAATAATTTAGTGTGTCTCCACATCAACTAACCCCTTTCCAAACCTTAAATCTTTTCTTGGGTAATATTTCCAGGAAGCATTAAGTTTGTGGCTAGAATCTATGGATAATCTTTCCTAAAATGATTTTCTAAGACCCTCAAGTTGAATAATTTTTTAAGAATTGTGTCTTTCTGTTATCCTTCCAGGTGTTACCTCCAAACACAGGCTCTCTTCATATTGATAGAAATTGTACAGCTATATATTGCCATGAGCCAAGCAGTGATCTATACCATCCTTTCCAAAAGCGCGAGCAGCTGAGAGCTAGCAGGTACATCATGACGCACACGTCGGAGATTATTTGTGAGGTCATAGATCCCGAAGGAAACATTTTCCAGGTACAGTGTACCAATTTATATGAAGAGAGTGTCCATGACCTTTCTTTTAAGGTAGTTCACACTCACAATGTCCACAGAACTTTTTATCTAGTTGTCTTGGGATTAGTTATTCACTTACTGCCATTGTATTGGGCAAAACCTAATGAATGTCAGTTTCCCTTCTTTGATCCTCAAGAGTACTTCCAAGGAGGAGGTGTTTGCACAATAATGGCAAAGTTGAATAGCTGCAACAGACAGTATGATCAGCAAACCATATAATATAGTTCTTTCTAGTTCTTGACAGAAAAGTTTTCTGAACCCTCCCCTTGTCACTTAGTATCTTTCCAACAACATACACTTCTCATGTCTTACCTAACAGTTGTTGTGTTGTTATGTGTCATCAAGTCAATTGTGGCTCATAGACACTCTATGTACAACAGCCCTAAAACTTGCTCTAACCTGAGCCAACCTTACTGTCTCTGACACACCTACCACCCTTACTCCTATCACTGAGTCAATCCATCTCAATGAGGGTCTTCCCCTCCTGTGCTGTCCCTCCACTCTCCCAAGGATAATGTCCCTCTCTAAGGAATGGCCCATCCCTGCAACATGCCCAAAGTATGTCAGACAGAGCCTCAAAATCCTTGTCTTCAAGGAGCAGCCTGGTTTCACCCTCTCAGTACAATTACATATATCAGCTAGCAGGTAGTGATATATTTTTTTTAAATTTATTTAGAGTTATAATACAAACTTTGTGTCTCTAGCTTTGTCTTGGTATGCAAACAAATTCTGGTATGTCTTGTGTTCTTTTTATTAACTAAATCAAACTTTTTAAAAAATTTTATTATTATTTTTGGTGTGGACCGTCAAATCAGATCTGACTGGCACAGAAGATTATCCCTCCTTTTCCAGCAGAGCATCTTGTGGATTTGAACCATGTGCCTCTGGGATTGCAGTGCTGCTTCTTGTCACTAGGCCACCAGAGCTCCCTTAAATCAAACTTTTTGAAGCATGAGGTTGCTAACAAATTTCAATTTACAAATGGGTTTGAAATAGAAACAGAAAGGTCAAAGCCTTGCCCTCTGAAATGTCCAGTCCAAGCATACTCCATGCTTTGTCCCTCCTCCCAGACAACACTCCAGTAGTCTTTAGCTGGAGCCACACTTCTTTCTGAGGATCTACAAGTATCTTGACAGTTTTGATGGCCAGAACATTTCTTCTAATATTATCATTTTTTCTATAGGTCTTCATCTGTGAGTCCTAACTCTGCTTTTTGGATTTACACAATGTAAATATCTTTCGTGGGTTTATCTTTTAAATATTGTAAGATATAGTACGAATGACAAAACACTATACTCCTAGCCAAAATTAGCAGCTCGAGTCCCTCTGTGGGTACCTCAGAAGCCATGCCTAGTGATATGCTTCCAAAAGGCCATGGCCTTAAAACTTGAGGGAAAAGTTCTACTCTGCATACATGGGGTCACCATTAGTCCAAATCATCTCCCTGGAAACTGATAACATCAAATCTTATAAGTACATGAGTAATTAGAATTTTTGCCTTTCATTCAGGAGACCCAAGTTTTATACGCAGTCTCTGCACGCCATGTACAGTCACTACTTGTCTGCCAGTGGAGGTTTGGGTATTGCTATGATGGCGAATAGATTTCAATGGAGATACCAGATTAATACAGACTAGCTGGGGAAGCCTAGCAATTTACTTCCAAAACTCAGTTAATGAAACCTCTAAGGATCACAATGACTCCGTTCCATTGTACACAGGGTTACCATGAGTTAAAGGTTGGCTGGAAAGTAGCAAACAGCGTTATACGACTATCCTCTCCTTTGTGTGTCTAATTCCTTTAAGTGATACTCAGAGAATATGTTTTTGAGTCTTGAACCTATCCAAGTAACTTTCATCTGCCTTCAAAGATACCCGTTTGTTTCTCAGTTTCTTTTACATCCTAGGTGTGGATTTTAAGTACAAATCTGCTAATAATTTTAACTTTTATTAATTATTTTATTTATTAATGTAGTCTATAGTTAGTGAAAGTAAGTAGAAAGAAAGATGACGTCCCTGATGCTGGATATACCAAAAGATTACCAGCTTTCTCAAATTGTACCAGCAGTAAGTATGCCTTATAACATTGTACAACATTGTTTTTCTTTGGGCTCTTTTTATACTTTGTCCCTTTAGGTCATGGCTGATGGGACTACATCAACTATGTTACCAGAACAAAACTTCGAAGAGGATTTAAGTTCAAACAATGAGGGCTATGATAGTCTATCATCTTCTCACCTCCAGAAGAATCATCTGCAAATCTATGGTGAACATGTCCCCAGGTAATTAATAATAATGAAACCTTTAAGAATTCTAAATTGAAAAATGTTTTAACAGAATATTTCAGATGATTAGATTTTTTTTTCTTCTTTCTTTCTTCCAACAGATTTTTTATTGTCTATGCTGATGGATCAGGAGTGGAACTTCTTCGAGACAGTGACATAGAAGAGTTTCTATCTTTGGCATATGGAGAATCCATGACTCTAGTTCGTCAAGAGCCAGTACAGGAACAGCCAGGTAGAGCATCCACTGTCTCCCTTTCTGAAAGTCACTGTAACCCTTCATCAACTCTCATCCTCCTTACTATCCAATCCATCATCTCTACTTCCCTCACCCTGTTCATTTTTATCTTTCAGAGATAGCCTTAGAGATAACCTTAGAGATAGCCTTTGTAAGTTCATCAATACTTTGAAAGTATTGCCTTGATGACATTTAATACAATGGGAAGGTTCATGTGATATGTAGGTTAAAGTACCAACTCAAATAGCTATAAATAAGCTATATTTATAGGACTCTTAATGCTGTATTAATCTATTTTAACAAAATGAGTATACCTGGAACTTATGAAGATGTACTACTTTAAGTAAGAACAATTAGTATACATAATAATATGTGTATTTAAATATATATATTTAAATACACATATATAAATATACATAAATATGTCTATATATAAATATACATAAATATATACCTGCATGTTATCTGTGTACAACAAACGATGTGTTGTATATGTGCCTATTTTTATCTGCTGTATTTGATGGGAGAGATTTCGAGTGCATTCATGAATACACATGCATCTCTGGGTATGTACAACTTTTAGCATCTCAGTCTACAAGCACTATGTAATACACCATTCTTAGTGAAAATGCCTCCTGCTTGCTATGTAGGGAATTTATGAAATTATAGGAGACTAGACAGCTCTGATGGCCTAGGAGTAAGAAGCTGCACTGTAATCCCAAAGGCACACAGTTCATATCCACCAGACACTCCATAAGAAAAGGATGAGCAATCACTTCCCGGGCAGTTTACTGCTTCTGTAGACCCACTGGAGGGTCAGCAATGGATCAGCTCAGACTCAACAGCAAAAATAATAGCAACAATAACAATATGAGAATCAGAATTCATTTCAAAATGTTCTGTCAATCATTTAACTAATTACCACTTGGCAACACACTATATGCCAAACACTGACTGATTATTAGGAATACAATGGAAAATTAAGACAGGAATAAAGCCTGCTTTCATGAAGCTTCCAGTTTATTACACTAAACAAATATCAACTAAATAGTCAAACAAATAGCAATATAATTGTTAATTGGGATAAAGTAAGGTTTATTAAGAAAGGAATATGATTCTAACAGATAAACCTAAAAAATTCAAGAAAGCGTACTCAAAAACTCTTGAACCAAGAGCTGGTAGATGAGTAGTTAAGTAAGACAAAGGAGAGATCTGTCACTGAAGTGAGAGTATATGTGAGGAAGCATAAAATATTCAGAGACTATAAAAGGGAAGGCAGGGAACGGTAGCTGAGGCACAGGGCGAAAGAAAAGTGCAGGTTCAGTAAGGGGGCTAGAAAATAGTAATAATTTCTGGTTTTCATAAAAGACAGTGGGAAGCCAAAGGTGAGCTTTAATAATCGTTATGTGCCGTTAAGTCACCTGCGTCCTATAGCGACCCTATGTACAGCAGTTCTGAACCCTGTCCTGAGCCAGTCACTAATTCTTACACACCAACCCCCACTGCCCCAGTCATTGGATCAATCCATCTCAACCTGGATCTTCCTCTCCTGCGCTATCCCTCCATCCTTCCAAGCACGATGTTCTTCTCCAAGCACCGGTTCCTCCTGGTCACGTGCCCGAAGTATGTGAGAGAGAGCTTCAAAATTCCAGCCTCCAAGGAGAAACCCAGTTTCCAGGGCATTTTCCTTCACAGAAGAAATAAAAATAGAAAAGCTCTTAGCTTCGGTAATCCAAAACAAGATCTTAAAGATGATGTTGCCTTGCTCTGGGGTTGTTACTGTTTACTGTCAAGTCAAAACAGGCTGAACCTCCAATGAGTTTTCAGAGGTAGTACATCACAGGTAATGAAAGTATTCCTCTTACAATCAACAGATCGAGTAGAGAAATGTTTGATGGTGAAAGTAATAGTCTTGGTTATAGGAAGGATGTTGTTGTTGAATGACAGTGGGATGTTAGTGTATGATCCGAAGTAGTCAAAATCCAGCCTCTAGATGGAGTTGTGGTTACAAACTTCATTCTTCTTACTTAGATTGTAAGGTTCTTAAGCATAACTACTATGTCTCGCTTATATTCTTGTATAGAAGGAACTTCAAAAAATATTGAATTTGAAGGAAAAATATTTTAATTCCTCAGAATAACTCTGATAAAAAAATTATTTTTCAAATAACTCTCTCTGAATTAGGTGCCCTGAGCATCACTGTCCTTCGTCCTTTTCATGAGATATCACCATGGATAATGAAGAAGAAATTAGACACAATTGTTCCCCCTAATCTCCAATCAAGGACATGGGAGACATTCCCCTCGGTTGAGGTATCCATTTCTCTACTGTAATGGCATTCTAAATGCTTATTTACCCATCAGTAAGCCAGAGTGCCAGAGTATCAGATATTATCTCATGCATTCAAAAATTTTCATCCTCATGTAAAATTGTGATGGATTGAAGGAGTTCTATAAGTAAAGATTTTAACATTTTTGTAGATATGTTGATCAAATTTTAGGGACTATTTCACAATTTATTCTCAGTTTTGTTAGGTGTTTTGTTGTTATTGTTCTATCTTGTGAGCTTAAAGATCTTCCTGTAATTTGAAACAGCCACTCTTAGTTTTCCATTTCTCTGATCTTGGAATAATCAGTGTTATGCATCATGGAACTCTTCTTTCTGATATTCCATTTTAGTTCTTTCACTCTAGCTGGGCCTTGGACACAGAATAAGAATTTAAAATGAAGTTCATTGGGCATGCTTCACGACAATAGCGCACAACAGCACACCGCTCCTGAAATAAGGAGAACCTCAAGATTTCTTATGGCAAAATTTCTGAGAGTAAGAGACATCCTTAAACTAGGTGATTTCAAATGTGTTGCAAATTCATAAAATGATTTCTTTCCCAAAGACTCTCTCTAGATCAAAATGAACATGAGTTTAAAAATCTCTGTATTTCTTAGTTAAATCAATGTTTTAGACTACCTATGAATTAGGAAACAATTCCATGCATTTGGCACAAACTTGACTGAACTGTATATGTATGGGCTTACATAACACTACTGTACATGTAACTTGCTGGGCGATCACACAATAGGATTTACAAATTGCCAGCTCTAGTGATTTCATGGTAAGGAATTTCTGCCAACCCAAAAGTATATAGTTCAAATCCACCAGCCCCTTGGCAGGAAAAGGATGGGCAGTCTCTTCCCTTGTGATTTATTGCCTCTGAAAAAAACCTCTGGAGGGTCAGCTATGAGTTGGTTCTGACTCAATGGTATTCAACAGTTCTTTGTAACATATATAAAGAAGACACCCAATACAATTATCAACTTTTTCTTTACCTTTTATGGAACTTTCTGAGAATAGTGATCATATATTTGGTTTTCAACTTTGTATTCCCTAATATATGGCTCCTAAGAAAATGAGGATGCTTTAGGAGAGGACAAGATTTAGATCCATTGTTCATAAGTCACTATGAGTTGTTGTCAATTCAATGGCACCTAGCAATAACAGTAGTTACACAGTAAGTACTTAGTTTTTAAAAAATGATATCTAGAGTTAAAATATTATCATTTCTTTGTTGCATGTTTTATTTTGTTAACAGAAAAAAACCCCAGGACCTCCATTTGGTACTCAGATTTGGAAAGGTCTTTGCATTGGGTCCACACAGCTAGTAAGTGCCCCAGCCCCCATACTCAAGAATCCCAGTATACTCCAGGTTCGCCAGTTCATCCAACATGAGGTCATACAAAATGAGCTGAAGCTGATGCTGCAGATCTCCCTCAAGGTAATAAAATGCTGAGAAACCTGAAATTATGCAATTGTACTATTTCTATCTAAAGGCATGTTGACCTGACAGAGGTTAGAAGGTTGAGAAGTAAAAAATATGTAATGCTTTCCATAATTTCTATGGAACATCGAGGGATTGAAAGGACATTGAGCAGATAAGTAACTTCTACATGTGATTGCTAGGTAGAGTTCCCCTTCATTCTCATTATGTGACCCTTGAAAAAGATAGAAACAAAAATTAATCTCACAATTTCCTATGAAAGAAAAAGATTATTCAGAGAAAAAGTCTGAATATTTGTAAATGCATATTTAATTATGTAACTATAACATCTCATTCTCTAGTTGGTTAACTTTCTCAGAACTGAAAATCATTATGTGTTCTTTCATATGCCCACCACCCAGTGTAGATAAGGGAATCATCAATTTTTTATTTTTTTAGAAAAAGTAAAGTGTATGTCTCTTGGAAGCAAAAAAGAATGGAGGAAGCAACTTATAGACCAAATCATAAATATCAGACCTGGAAAGGACCCTAGAAATCATTTCACTGAATTCTGCCCACTTAATTGATGAAGAAACTGAAGCATAGAGTTATAAAGAAAGCCTCATTGTGGTCCACATACATTTTTATCATTGAATACTGCTTAAGGCTTTGTTTTTGTGTTTTATTGATCTTTTGCTTTACTGACATATTAAGGAAAATACTGTGGAGATTGCTTGAGCAGTAACTGTTGTTGTTATTATGTGTAGGAGTCTACTTGCATGTAATGTTTGTGATATTGTTCAATAATTTCCACTCTGTTCGATCCTTTTTTTTTTAATAGGAATAAATATAGATCTCTTCCAGTCAGTTGGCCGAGTAGTTAGTTGTCCTCTAGATTTCTTGGCACAACTTGGTGATCACGTCCAAGGCTACATCTCTTTGTTTAAATATGTTGATTGGTATGCCTTCAATTCCTCAGGCTTTGTTTTTTTTGCCAATTCCTTCAGAACTTGAACTTCTTCCTTCATCACCATTGCCTCTTGATCAAATATTGTTTCTTGAAATTCTTCTGAGTCAACCAATTATTTTTAGTGTAGTGACTCTATGTACTCCTTCCATCTTCTTTGGATGCTTTCTGGATCATTTAATATTCTGTCCATAGCAATTTTAAATATTGCAACTTGTAACTTAAATTTGTTCTTTAGTTCCTTCAGATGGGTGAGGATAGGTGGGGGTGGCAAGGTGGTGGCATTAATCATAGGGTCACACAATTTGACAGGTGAAGGGATGAGTGGATAAACGAAGTGGAAAAGATCCAGTGTGAAGAATAATGTATAAGAAAGTACTATAAAATAAAAAATTGTATTTAAAAACTAAAAAGAAATACCAAGTGAGTTCATCCCATTTGATTTTCTAACTCCAGCTCTTTGCATGTTTCACTATGATACCTTGGTTGTCTTCCTGAGTTGCCCTTTAAAATCTTCTGTTCAGCTCCTTAACTTCCTACATTATTTCCTTTGCTTTGGCTTCTCAGCCTGATACAGCAAAGTGAGCTTCTATACCTTTTGTCTCTCTGTAATATTTAAGATTGATCATGACTGTTTTGGTGTCTTTCACTACTTTAGTCCTGAGGGTTTTTTTTGTTTCATTCTATTCATCTAGGATTACATAAACCATATCTTGAAGAAAGAAGATGAGCTACAGGAAATGAGAGTGAAAGATTCCAGAACGGAGGAGGAGAGAGGCAACGCTGCAGATCTCCTTAAGTTAGTCATGGTGAGAGACAAAGATTTTCTATAAGCTAATATTTTTAAACGTGTTCCAGTATTAGATGTTTCGGTGCAAATTATAAGTAACAACTATTTCTTCCACTGCTCTGAAACTTTTGTTCTCTCCTTCAATTTTCCATTTTTGCAGAAATCTATTTCCTAATACATTGAATGTACAAAATGCTTTTAAAGTTTTCTTTTAGTCATAAATAAGTCTGAAGGGCTTTAATAATGTGTGCTGTCTTTGGAGAAAGTAAATTCTCTGAAATGTGGATAAATGAAATGGGGCAAGAAAAAGGGATGTCCTCAACTTAAAGTTATTTCTACTTTTCAACAATTTTTTCTTAGTGAAGACTTATTAAAGAGAAATCAAATAAATTTTATATTGGCATTAAGGATCTAATTAATTTTATAGTAATTTCCATAAAAGATAGAAATGAATTTTATGTGTAATGTAATACTCACATGAAATAATTGTATTTTCATTTCAGTCTTTCCCCAAAACAGAGAAAACTACAAAAATTCATACTACTGAAGGTAACTGGCTATTAATATATTTTTAAATATATTTATAAATATTAAGAAAACAAACTTATACTGTTTAATAAGTCATCTTCTCATCTAATAGCAAAGCACTATGGATGTATCTATGTTCTGATGTTGCCTATAATGTAGTACAATGGTTTAGAAGCTTGATTCTGTCTACATCATGGGTTACTTAGCCATACAATTACTCTAATCCATCCGTTACTTTAATCTGTTACATGATAAAAGTTCACATTTGCTTTTCTATTCATTTCAATGAGTTAGAATATAACTAAACTTATCTTCTAAAGAAGGAAAAAGCAAGGAATACATATATACACTGAACTAAAACAACCACAGAATTAGCAAAGCCTTGCATATTTTAGGGAATTCTGGTGCCCTGCTGTTAGGACCTAAGCTGCCAACTCAAAGGTACATGGTTTGGATCCGTCAGCTATTTGGCACACAATGTCCTCCTTTCAATTTGTTGCCTCTAAAACTTTCTGAAGTGTCAGATATGAGTTTGCTCTGATTTGATGTTACATAACAATAACAACAACAACAGTATGTTCTGCAAACTGTCGGTTAGGCCTTTTACTCTTGGTTGTCATTCAAAGAATATTTACTTGAGAATATGCACAACCTCAATAAATTAGGTCAGTGGTTTTGTGGCCCAGAGCTGGCAGAGAGTAAAGGTTTTTTGTTTGGTTTTGGCCATTTGACAAACTTCATTTGACATCTGGCGCCACGGGCTTCATTAGACCTGCATATGTTTGGTTGTACCCTCTACAATGTCAGCTTTCATAGTTGCTTTTGTTGTTATTATTGTTGTTTTTATATAATGTGCTTTTTTAAAAATTTTTAACATACTGCATTACCATTTGGTGACATTTAATCAACATGATTAATGGATGCCTTTTTCAGAATGACCATGACAGAGAACCCATCACAACCTCCAATATCTCTCTCTTATACCCAGTATTAGAAGTTACTTGGGTGGCCTCTCTCGTAGCATTGTCAGAATTAGTAAGTAAAAATATATCAAATTCAAACTCTAAATCATTGTGGTCACATCAGAACTGACTCATAGCTGACTCCTCAGAGGGTTTTCAGAGGGTGTAAATTGCTTGGGAAGAAATTCCCCATCTTTCTCTGGTGGCCAGTTCCACAGAGATATGCACTGCTAATCCAAAGGTGGCACTTCTTTGGCAATTCAAATCCTCTTGTAGTTCCAAGGGGAAAAGATGGTCATTCTCCTGTGTGATTTACAGCCTCCCAAAAACCCAATGGATGATCAATTATGAGTCAGTTCTGACTCAACAGCAAAAAGTATTAATTTGAAGACTACATTGGGTTATTGATGCCTTTGAACTGTAGTTCTGGGGAAGAGTATTGAGGGTACCATGGACTGCTAGGAAAACAAACAGATTCATCCTGGAAAGGGTTAAACCGGGCGGTTTCTTGGAGGCAAGGATTCTGAGGCTCCGTCTAACATACTTTGGACATGTTGTAAGGAGGGACTGGTCCTTGGAGAGGGACATCATGCTTGGTAGGATGAAGGGACAGTACAGGAGGGGAAGGCCCTCTATGAGGTGGATTGATTCAGTGACTGGGATAATCGAGATGAATGTGTCAGAGACAGTACAATTGGCACAGGACAGAGCAGAGTTTAGGGCTGTTGTACATAGGGTCGCTATGAGTCGCAGGCAACTCAACGGCACATAACAACAACACATCGGGTCATTTAAATCTGTCAGAAAAAGCATAAATAATTTGTGCAGAAAATTCCATTAAATATGTGAAACATACTTTATTAAAAAGGTATCTCTTTCTTATGGAAATTCAAAGTTAACTAGATCCTCTGTATTTTATCTGGTAACCCTACTTATGAGCATTTGAATTTGTAAGCTTTGTCCAAGAGAACAGTTGCTACCAAGATAAACAAGATGTCACTCAATAGTGAAGGACAAAATAAATAAACAAATAAAGCAAAAATAGATAAACAGATGCAGGAGACAATCATCCACATGTTTATAGCTGCTTCTGGCATATTACTTGTAGTGATCTTAAGTCAACATTTTCCAAGATATTTTCTTTCTTTCTTTTTTTTTTTTATTGTGAAAAACATGTATGAGGATACAAGGGTTAGGAGCAGAGAGAGGATGGGCAGGGATGAAATCACAGGGCTGCACAGTTTGGTGGGTGGGGGGAGTAGGTGAAGGAAATGAGAAAGATACATTGGGGACCGGAAGAGACAGGGTAATAGTAAGCATATTCTAAAGATTTTTTTTTAATAAAGAAATTGTCTTATTCACTTGTGGGTTTCTCATTTGGGAATGGGGCACAGACTTTCTGGCTTCTTCATGCTGAACAGGGGCGTTGATGTGAAGGGGAAAAGGGAGCCCACTTTAACACCTTAACCAGTGGTCCTGGGGTTGAAGCCACATGACTTCTTGTTCAGTTACAAAATATTTTCCTGACATTTACTGCCCTCTGGACTGCAAAGTGTTTACCAAGGTGGGTCCAGTGGGAATGGTTAGCTGAACCCTGAGGCTCCATCCTCTTTTGCTTCCTTAGTTGGCAGTTATATTTCCCTCTTGTCTCTGGAACAGGGGTCAGGGCCCAGGCCTGGAGTAAAACTCAGTGTAAGGTTACCTATAGGAAAGGGAGAAAACCTAGAGAGAACAAATTTGTGAGTTACAAATAGAAGGGGTGCTGGGGGAGAAGGTGGAGGAAAATGCCTTAGATAAAATTCTTTGTATATCCTAGAGAGTTTTCCCCAGTGACTTGAAGGCGCTTCTCAGGGGCTGGACAGCACACCTCAAGGACCAGGTGGTTCACCCTGAGCACAGCTCAGCTCACCCCAGGGGCCAGATGACTCTCCCCAGGGTCTGGACAGCACACCTAGAGGGCTGGACAGCTCACCCCGAGGGCCGAATGGCTCACCCCAAGGGCTGAACGGCTCTCTCCCCGAAGGCCAGATGACACACACTGGGGGGCCGGTTGGCTCATCCCTGGGGGCCAGAAGGCACACTCCGGGGGCCAGGCAGCATACCCTGTGGTCCAGGCAACACACTCCCCTACCAGAGCCCCCCCCAGAGGTTGGCCAGGGACAGTACCCCCAATTCTTGCACCACCACTATTCCTCCTTCCCCTCCACCAAGTGGTCAGCCTGCAATTTGAAGTAGGCATCACTACCCTTTACAAATGGAGAAGGGGCTTTGAGAGCAGTGAACAGACCCTCCCTAGGTCTAAACAGTTCTCGGCAGCAGTAGTCAAGAAATCAATAGATGTTGTGTACTGAGGAGATCTGCCATCTCAGATATGGCATTGAGAAATGCTGTCAAGTCATAGACAACTCACAGCCACCCTATGAATGAAAGACCTGAACACTTGTACAACTTTCATTATTTCCCTAAGTTCATAGAGTTTCTAGAGGCAAGCTATTTTGGAAGTGGATGCCATTCATGCTTTCAAGCCTGTTCCAATTGGGGAGCTCCACTAGACACTGTCCACCATGGGTAACCATTATCGCATCTGTCATGTCAGTGTCACGGTGCTTAGTTAGCCTCACAGCAACCACGAGTCACCTCTGTATGGCCTATTGGCAGAGCAGTGATATATACTTAGAAGAGTGTTTGGCCGAAAATAATAAAAATTGGGCCTGAGGGCCACAGTTTAAAATCTCCAGCCTTTGGTTTGTTAGCACAGCTTTCTATCCACTAGGCCCACTGAGACCTCTCTATGGCTCACAACAATTCTATGAACCCCAAATCTAGTCCTTGCCCTATCCTCACCATCTCCACAATCCGAGACATACTCAAGCCCATTGCTACAGACACCGTATCAATCCATTGCATTGATGATCTTTTTCTCTGACCTGTCCAAGGAAATCTTTTCTGACAGTGAGATGTTTTCCCATACCAAGTCTTCCACCTTCACCGCTGGCCCCCTTCCTGCCTTGGGGGCCTATGGCTCCTGGCATCCACAGCCACCGGCCGTGTAAGGGGTCTCTCATACCAACAGTGGAGCCCAGTACCAGCCATCCATTCTAGGCTAGGGGATCTGTGGGCTCTGGCCACAGTGGCACTGTGGGTTCACAGCAGACAGACTCGGCAGCAGGTAACAGGCAGAAGTGGGACTCACCATGTTCCTTCGAGAATCCCTGTCCCCTTGATGTTGAGCTTCAGTCCACATTGATGACCAGCAGTCAACAGCTTGGCTGTTTGGGTATATATAAGTTGTGTGGCCTGTTTCAATGTTGCTTGCCAGGCCTCCTGCTCCTCAAGCTGTATCTCTTGCCACTGCCATCTTGGTTCCAAGAATTTATTTTAGAATAAGTTTATTCTGTGGCAGCATGGAGGTTCCATCGTACCAGCTTTGGGGCCTGGTGCTTGACATTCATCCTAGGTGAGGGGATTCCCCGGGGTCCAGCCACTAAGGCCCCATGGAGCTAAGGCAGCAGCATGGGCTTGGCAGTAGGGGTCTGGGAGCCATGGAACTCACCCATTCTTTTTTGGGAATCTTTGTTCTTTTGATGTTGAGCCTCGATATATCTTGAAGACCAGTAATCAACTGTTTAATTGTTCAATTATCAATAAACTGAGAACTGTGGGGGGGGGAGGGGACATGGTGGCCCCTTTATATGCAGTTTGCTATTCCTGAAGCTCCTTACCTTGTTTCCTCCACTGCTGCCATCTTGGTTCCCCCCAAAGTATTTTCTAATATCAGATTAAAAGATAGAGCCACCAAAGAAGTGTTTTGGTTAAGTCTGGATAAAATCAAGATGGGTAATAAAGTAAGATTGATTGAGTATAACTGCAGTTGCTTAAAAACCACATACATGTCTTTTCCTGTGAGCGGCTTCAGGTAATCTCACAACATGGTTTGCTACTCGCTTGACCCGGAGAACCCCACAAAATCATGCAAATCAAGAGGCTCAAATCTCCGGGTTCATTTTAAGAACACCAGAGAAACTGCCTAGGCCATCAAGGGTATGCATATCCGGAAAGCCACGAAGTATCTGAAAGATGTCACTTTGCAAAAGCAGTGTGTGCCCTTCTGACGATACAACGGTGGAGTTGGTAGGTGTGCCCAGGCCAAACAGAGGGGTTGGACACACTGTTGGTGGCCCAAAAAGAGTGCCGAGTTTTTGCTGCATATGCTTAAAAACGCCGAAAGTAATGCTGAACTTAAGTGTTTAGATGTTGGTTCTCTGGTCATTGCGCATATCCAGGTGAACAAAGCGCTCAAGATGCACCGCCGCACGTACAGAGCTCATGGTCGGATTAACCCCTACATAGGCTCCCCCTGCCATATTGAGATGATCCTTACTGAAAAGGAACAGACTGTTCCTAAACCAGAAGAGGAGGTTGCCCAGAGGAAAAAGATCTCCCAGAAGAAACTGAAGAAACAAAAATTTATGGCTTGATAATAAATTTGGCATCAAATAAAATGAAAATAACTTAAAAAAAAAAAAACAACAAAAACCACATACATGTAAGAGTACAAAAAGTCTTCCAGTAACACAATGTATTCAAGCTTGTATAAATCCATCTTTCTTGGGGTCATTTAACCATGAGACAGGCACCTTTTTATGTTCTTAATCTTCTGTTAACAACCTATACTGACCATGTTCTGCAGAATAAACTCTGATAATAAATAGTGCTTGAACGATTTGATCATTGTAGTACATTCATATCCCTAGATTCAGGAGTTAGCAAGTGCTTGGAAAAAACTATTTCCATGAATGTGTTTAAATTTTTAAAGTTTTGATGCTTCGGGTATGACAAAATTCAGTTAAGTAGAACACTGCTTCCCCTAAATAATGAAGTGTTACTACAATCTGCACTTTGATGTCAGTTCTCTGATTGGATATTTCTGTAAGTCCTCTGTATGACTGTTTTGCACCATGGTCATGGAAATTCCAGTAAATAAAGGCTCTTAAACAATTCAACAAGAGTTCAAAATAAGAAATATATCATTGAAAAGAGGACAAAGGAGGTGGGAAGGTATGTAATTGTACAACAGTGAATAAATATTTTTTTTAAAAATGTGAATAGGGCAGGTGGAAGGGAGGGTGAAGAGGTAAAATATGCAACAATTAATGAATGAATGGAAATCTAACTTCTTTGTAAATGTTTGTTAAGATCACAATTAAAATAAAATTTTATTTTAAAAAAGAATAATTCCAATAAGTAACTAAGTACTGAGTACATTTTGTGTTTTTATAAAGAGTAGTGAGGCTAAAAGTTAAACGTGTCTATTTTTAAAGTTGCAGCCCACCTAGTCAATTTATACAAGCAGTATTTGGATAAAACTCCGGAGTGTTTACCAGAATCGCTTACTAGTGATTTGTTTGAAAAACAATGGAGGTAAGATGACCCAGTAATATATCCAAGTTAGTATTAAGCATACTGTGTGTTTAGGAAACAGAGAACTGCAGGGTGCTTCCTGTGGGTGATTGAATCATTGCTCCCAGTCCATTATCTCCTGTACCATTTATTGCACAGTGATGCTCTTTGACTTGTGTGTGGACTGAGAGGGTTGTGCCTTTCCCACTTCTCTCATACTTTACTTTCCTCTCACTTAGGTATGTTGAAAATAAAATGCACTGGAATGCAAAGATTCAGCAAAAGAGGTAACTCTACCCTGCAGTATTCACAAATAATTGAAAGGCTTTCACTGTAGAGGCAGAGAATCTTAAAGGAAGATAATCTGTAAGGGCCTACAATCCTGGCTCTCAACTGTTATTTGAATATATTCTCTAACTTTTCTGCAAAGTGATTCTTCAGCTGCAGAATGACTGTCACTATCCCTTGAGCTAGTCCATTTGACTATTGGTAGATTCTCTTAAACTACTCTGTAATTGGGGCATTCTAAGAGATTATGTAGAACATGGAGGTATGTAAACATTCTTAAAATTCACATGAAGAATGTGCTCTAAATGTTATCCAGTTTGGTCTCCTTTCAATCCTTCCTGAGGATTCCAGCCTCAGATCACACGCTGTAAAGAAAATACAAATATATGTATAACATATGTTGTTGTTGTTATGTATTATCGAGTCACCTGTGACTATGTACAACAGCCCTAAACCTTGCTCGATCCTGTGCCAATCTTACTGTCTCCGACACACCTATACCCATTGCCTCAGTAACTGAAACAATCCATCTCATCGAGGGTCATACAAAAACAACCAAAAAAAACAAAAAAAAAACCAACAAACCCACAACAAAAAAACTTGCCTCTGTGTTAGAATTAACTCATAACTGGCTCTCCATTGAGTTTTCTAGACTGTAAATTATATGAGGCAAGACTGCCAACTTTACTCTCTCCAAGCCGTTTGTGGATTGAACTGCCAGAGAAGCACAGCCTTTGAACTGGCAACACAACTCCCTATGGACTGCGCCACCTGAACTCCTGGTTGAGTATATAGAAGTGTGCATATTGTACTATTATTAGGGAGCTCTGGTGGCATCAACATAGGAAGTTGTACTGCTAACCTAACCCAAAAGTGGTGTTCTGTGATGAGGTCTCTTCAGCCCTCACAGTAAATAACTTGATTAGCAGAGATAGTTTTCAAGAACACGGCTTGGAGTCAGGCAGCCTGAGTTTTCATGTAGATTCTGACTCTTAGGTACTATATGCTTTGTTGTTGTTATGTGTCTTTAAATTGGAAATGACTCATAGCTGACCCTAAAGCAGATTTTCAGAGGCAGTAAATTATATGGGAGAAGCTTGCCCATCTTTCTCCTATGGGACAAGTGGTGGATTGACACTGTGTGGTGGAGTTGAATGATTCTGGTAAATACTTTGACGTTTTGCCAAGATTGCTTGTATAAATTGGATAGATGGTCTTCAACTTCAAAAACAGATACATTTAATGGTTAGTCTTTGGGTTGGAAGCGCAGCTCCATATCTCTAGACCACCAGAGTTCCCTGTTTGTTTAGGATAAGCTATTTAACCTTCTAAGTCTTGAATATTTTTGACCAGCAAAATGGGAAAAAAAATAGTATTCCATAAGGTTGCAAGAATTATTCTAAGATTAAAAGCAAAGCACTTCGAAGTTTCTGTCAGGCAATAAGCACTTACTTACAAATAGTAACTGTTACGTGTCTGGAGATGACTACAACTCATAATGACCCTATGAACAAAGACTGTGAACCTTGTGCTGTCCTGAGCCAACCTCCCCATCTCTGACACCTCTGACCTAACCTCATTACCGCAGTCACGGTATCAAATCTATCTTTTCAAGGATCATCCTCTCTTACACTGACCTTTTATCCTCTCAAGCATGATGTCCTTCTTCAAGGACTGGCCATTCCTGACAACATGCCCAAAGTACGTGAGCCACAGTTTCACCATCCTTGCCCCAAGGAACACCCTGGTTTCACTTTCACAAGCAGGACAATCCTCTTTGTGCTCTTTCACAGAATGTTCCATACTCTTCTTCAGCACAACTCAAAAGCTTACACAGTAGAATTTAAATGTTGTTGTGTACCGTAGAGTCAGAACCAACCCATAGCTGACCCTCCACTGGCTTTTCAGAAGTAGTTTATTGCCCATCCTTCTCCTGTGACACAGCTGGTGGTCTTGAACTGTGTGCCTTTGAGACTGGGGTGCAGCTTCTTGCCACTAGGCCACCAGAGCTCCCTGAGAGTAGAATTAAAAAAACAAAACCCAAAAAACAAAAAACCATTAAATAATTGTTGTTAGGTACCATTGAGTCAAGTAAGACTCATAACAACCCTGTAGAATAATTAAAATTAAATTAGGTTGCAGTGTAGAGAAAACTAAAAAAAAAAAAAAAAAAGTAACTTAAAGGAAAGGAATTTATTGTGGCACCAATCTTTGGAAAAAGACTTCGTGCTTTGAAAACTAGAAGGTCAGCAAAGGAGAAGAAGGCCTTCAACAAGATAAGTTGATGGCAATAATGGATTTGAGAGTGACAGAGATTGTGAGAACGGCATAGGAGAGGGTTCGGCTTCAGTCTGAGTCCCATGTTGTTGTTGTTATGTGCTGTCGAGTCATTGGCGACTCATAGCGACCCTATGCACAACGGCCCTAAACCCTGCTCTATCCTGCGCCAACCACACTGCCTCTGACACACCCATCCTAATTACCCCAGTCACTGAATCAATCGATTTCATACAGGGTCTTCCCCTCCTACACCGTCCCTCCACTCTCCCAAGCATGATGTCCCTCTCCAAGGACCCGTCCCTC